TCCATCATGTTTCAAGATGGTTATTGCACCACCAACCAGTAAGTCATGGTCTACTTACTGACGATGATATGATGCTAGCCCCATGACTTGGGACACACCCATGTCCATACCATTCAACGTATCATGATGTTGGGAAGGCCGCTGGAGATGAGCGGCCCCATGAATCCCAACTTGCCATGAGAAGAGGGGCGGGCTGTTGGGGTGATATTCCAAGTTCGGATGGATCCCAAAAGCCATAGGGATCCATAGGGCATACCCCCAAAGTATCTATCTATGAGGTGGCTATGGAATTGTAGCTACCTTACAACTGCCCATAACTGGGGGGTTCTTTAGATTCGGCATTACTGCCTGAGATGATCATGGTAATCAACTGTTTGACTAATCCCGTCCCCCATTCAGATTCAGACTTTATTCTACCACCAATTCTTGGGACCCAATTCATGAATAGATTTCTTACTAAACCCAAGTTCTTTTTTTGGGGGTATTTAGGTGTTGGGGGGCACAAATATTGTCCTCAAACATCGCGGACTGGAAAATATCCCAGCTTTAGTTTTCGATGCTCCCAGTTGCAGATGCCCATTTCGTGGATTTTCCCGTGGATTTTCCCATCATAGAATTGGATGATGGGAAAATTTAAACCGGAAAGCCTTATATTTGATGGTAAAAACCATGGTTTCCGGTCAAAATTTTCCCCAACAAACCAATCCAATGACATGAGGATTTCCATTGTCACTGGGGATTTTCGCCATCGAGGTTACCGATGCTGAGTCGGGCCGCAGGTCGCTGAGCCGCGAGCCAAAAGGAGCGGCCGCAGCCACGACGCCACGATGGAACCTGGGGAATCTTGGGACATCTGGAAATGGGGAAACATGGAAACATGGATCATGGATTAATGGTGGTTTAGTATGGTTTAATGATGGTTAATGAAGGTTAATGATGGTTAATGATGGTTAATGATGGTTAATGATGGTTAATAATGGTTAATAATCATCTGCTTGGTGGTGACTGGAACCATGGAATGGATTATGACTTTCCATTCAGTTGGGAAATGTTGGGAATGTCATCATCCCAACTGACGAAGTCCATCATTTTTCAGAGGGGTAGGTATACCACCAACCAGAAGACGTAGAATCTTATGAATCTTGGAAAATGAAGGACAATTACTGGGGAAGAACATGCAGATTGATGAAGGGTGGCAAAATAAACCACCCCAGCCACCGCCCGATTCATAATAAGCATCATCCCACTTATAAAGGCTTACCCAATCAGAAAGCTCATATTAGTGATTAGTGGTATGGTTTATCATTGGGTTCTCCACATCAACCGTCGTGATGTGATCGGGGGAGTTGGAACTGGCAGGCCAAATGTGGGAGAGAATGGAGTAATACTGCTGTGACTCCACATGAACAACTCCGCAAATGATAAGCAACTCGTTATACAAGACACTGTAGCAAACCCAATCATAGACCTAGAATTTTACGGAGTGTTGGAATACCATTTCTGGTGAACTTGGGGATGGTTTATTATTGTATGTATCACATTGGTGCATGGGCTTTCTCTTTTCCTTGTAACAGATGCGAAGACCTTTCCAGCATCTTCCTCGAGAAGATCCGGCTGGACTTCAGTCTGGAATTCCAACCCGTTGGGATTGGTGTGCAAAACATGTTGAAGGATTTCTTCAATTTGAAGCTATCAAATCAATCCAATCAATCAAACACATAAGAGCTGGTTGGTGGTTTCAAACATGGCTTTTATTTTCCATAATATTTATGGGATGTCATCCTTCCCATTGACTTTCATATTTTTCAAGATGGTTAAGTCAAGTCACCACCAACCAGAGAGGTGATTTGCTCATGAAGTCTCAAACCACTCAGGTCACCATCTTTCGTCTCTGTGTGGAGATCGCAGCTACACTCGTCACGACCGACCCGACTTACATCTCTCAGGGAACGCGCACGCGCACGGTCGGCTTCCCAAAGAGGATTTCGCCGCAGAACGAACTAACGCGCACCGGGCGAAGGGGCGACCACGGGCGAAGTGCACCGTGCCCGCACCAATTTCCAATGCGTCTCGGTGGAAATTTCTGACCATTTGGAGGCCATGCGGAATGTTTGGGAACGACGCCTGTGCGTTTGACGTAGGGTTGCTGGATGGGTTGCTGGGATGATAAAAATGATAGTTATTGTGGATCATTCCCGAAAATTCCCTGCTGAGCACCAGTAAGTTCAACATGCTGAAACCAGATGAAACCACCTTGGATCATTTCTTTAAAGCACTTTGTAGGGACAAAGTCCTGGCTGCCGCAATGTTTCGTTAGTAAGGTGGTAAAACTAGAGAGCGGCCCGGGATGGCTTTGGAGTCGGTTGGCTGAAAGCTGTTGGAATTCAACCACCTAGCAATACTAATGTGGGTAAAACAATGCCATAAACCACCCATGACTGGGAGTGATTTATACCACCTATAAAAATGGGTGATTTTTCTGGGGGATGGTGCGTTTATGCCGTTTATGGCATTGGGAATTCCCCACATCTACAAACCAACATCTACTGAGGCGGCTCACAGTGAGCTCGTTGATCAAGGCATGGAGAATGGATCCATGGGGATCCAGTGGGATCGGAGCATAGCAACTGGTTCCAACTGGGGGGAAAAAAACAGGCGTTTGCCATGGAAACTGGTACATTTATAGATGATTTTCCTATTCAAAGCCTTTTTTTTTGACCAAGAATCTACACATGTGCCATTATATAAAGTAATATTGATTTTCCATATATATTTAATTTTCCATTATAGATAGATAGATGGTGATTTTCCATGACCCCCAAATGAGTAGAGGACGAAGTTTTCCGAAAAACCGGTGGCAGGTGATCGCCACAGCGGGGCTGCTGGGCGTGCTCTTCATGTTGGGGCTCAGATGGGCGATGGCCACGGAGGGGGATGATGTCTTTGTTTACATCATGCTGGGTAAATTATAACGACCTCACGTCGCGACCGAGCCCTGCAATCATGGTTAATAAGGGATATAAGGGGAATCATCCCCTTTTATGGGCCGCAAGATTCAGGTTAGTGAAATATTAGAATGTACCCAGATCATGATGATGACGATGACGATGACGATGACGATGACGATGATGATGATGATGATGATGCTGATGCTGTTGTTGTTGATGGTGGTGAGTAGCATTTTCCAATATTTTCCAACTGACATCGGGTGAGACCGTGGCCTGGTCCAGGCACTATGACCCGCTGGAGGCGACAGGCGCGACTGCGACTGATTTTTGGCCACTGGAGGAACTGTTCTTTGTTGGTTTTTAGGATGTGTCAGGGAAAATTTGGGGGAATCTGGATTTTCTTTTCGGACAAATCAGCATCTGTTGAAGTATGTTAAAGTAGAAGAGTTGCCGGGTCTTTCGCATGTTTTGTAAAGATATCCTCATATCAATCCCGGGACCCTTGGAAAGCTTCGGCCCTCAGGTCGCAGGCTCTTTGCCCATCCGTGCGGGCCTTACATGTCTCCAGATGAATGATATAGCCAGCACTATAATCTATTCTACTCCAATGATCTTGGTCTATTATATCTATAATTTCTCATATTCATATAATATGTGTTTTGTTCACACACACACACGCATATAATATATATATATATACATACGTATATCAGCTTATAGTGGCAAAGGGTAGGAACTACACAGCCAGTGATTTTGTTGGTGATCGCCATGGATGGATGGATCTACTTCTTTTGGACGCTGGTTAGATACGGGGATACGCCAGTCACTGGGGGAAGGGGTTCGAACCGCCCAGTTCTGGGGACCCAGGGGGAACTACTGTCATGATAATTATCTGATTATAATCTTTCAGGGGGATCTATAATTATAATTTATCATGATACTTATCTATCTGATGATTACTTATCCTATAATTATAATGATCGATCAGCAGAATTTTACAGGCAGAATCCCGGCTGTTTCTGGTAGGGGTCAGAAACTTTTTTTGGATGGCTTTTTCCACAGCGTGCCCCTGAGGTTGGAGGAGGAACTCTCCTATGATCCCATGGAGACGTCCTTGGGATCTGGATCTTATGGATCTTACGGATCCGTTCCAGGCGGCCAGCCATGGTCGGACTATGGACACTATCAGGCGCTAAAAACGGGACCGGAATCGAGGCACTTAAGTGACATGGTAAAGAAATGAAAGCGGCTTAGATCCTAGTTGAGTTAGAAACGGAATCCCACTTGTAGAAGTCATTTTTCCGGAATTACGAACCAGTTGCATCCAGTGAATTACTAGTCAATTTACAAATGATAGCTGAAATTCCCACCCTGACACACCAGTGAATTCATTGACCAGCAGCTTCAGATGAGGCTGCGACCGCGATTAGGAGCTTTTGTCATCATGTCAGGGACATGTTAAAAAGGCAAACCCAGATCATCATGGCTGGCAGTCTTGGAAAGATATCTTGGAATGTTGATGTTTTTTTTTTTTCTTTTCGCAGATCAACATCTTTCAAAGTCACAGACATCGTTTGCATCGGCATGGGTCTTGGAAGATGGGGCTCCAGCATCCGGGGGATGCGATGCTGCTCCGTTGCTCAAGCGCGTCTTGAGTTACTTGTGTCAGCGTAAAGCAAGGGCATCTAACCAAGAATTTGCGTAGACTTTGGACATTAGCCGGCCTGAGGTTTCAACACCATTGGGACAAGTTGGCAGGATTTGAGGTTCCAATGTGCAGAATGTGCAGACACGTGTGGGCACCATTTGCCTCGAGCCACAGCCTAGATGATCATTGCCATTCTTGGTGATGATCTATTTTTTGTTCTTCGATGATCTTTCTCCATCCGATTTCTTTCCCCATCATTTTCATATCCCATAGGATCCATGTATGCTATATATGGTAACATTTACCATCAATATACCCCCAATGTTAGCATCTATACCAGCACCATGGATCCTATGGGATATTTGAAGATTGTTCCATGATTCCATCGGAAAATCGCCCCGCCAATGGCCTCGCCCCATGGCCTCACGTTCACCGCGAACGGCTTTTCGCCCAGCAACTGGGAGACCTGGGAGGAAGTCCCTTGCGACGCGAAGGACACAGTGCAGGACGCGGTTCAGGTGCGCTTTCAGCTGGAAAACCATAGAATCCTCCAGAGATTTCCCCCAAGTTATGCCCCAAAAAACCTATGATTTTGATGGGGGATCTGGTTTCACCATTAGAGGCTGACATGGCTGAAACCAAAGCATCGAAACACCATTTAAGTTGCAATGGCAACTTTGGAAGCCAGTTTGAGCCCAGTGAACTCCGTGGGAGCCAACAAAAACCCCGCTACATAGACCTTTAAAATCCTGTAAATTGGCAAAAACATGGCAAAAACATGGCAATTTACCATGATTTTATAGCCCTAACACCCATAGGGGTGCAGTTCAGGTAACCCATTGGTATAACGCAATCACCCCAGTTGGAATATGGCCTACAGGCAGACTCCTGGTCCTGGACTGAACCTTTGATTCAAGCCTTGCAGCGCGCATCTCGGTGATCCAGGCAGTTGCTGGTTGGATCATGGTGGATCTGGTGAAATCCCCCAGGTTTTGGTGAAATTTACCCAAGCTGGTTATGGCTGTTACATAGCCATGGTATAGATGGCCCATAGAAATAGATAGTTTACCCATTTATAGATGGTTTACCTTAATAAGGTATGGTATATTGATGTACCATCTGGTTATTTGTTACATAGCCATGGTATAGATGGCCCAATGGCCCTAATCGAAATAGATGATTTTCCCAGATACCTCCATTTATGGTTGGGGTTTTCCATGGCGAACTGTTAAATAACCAGATGGTAGTGTCTCTCTAAAAACTAGGCATGATGTTGTACATAAAATCCCAGCTTGTGAGAAAACTACCAGAAGTTCGTATTTCATCTGTATTCGCAAAACTTCGCATGTTGAGATGTATCATCTCTGTTCGCATCGTATCTTCTTTTCGTGCTACAAGAATCTCACCGATCTGTGGCTAAATGTTCATCTTCAATCATCTTCACATCCCAAAATCATCCCTCAATGGCTCCCTTCATGCATTTTCCCAGCATTTTCCCATCATTTTCCCAGCATTTTCCCAGCATTTTCCCATGGATTTTCCGTCCATTTGAGGTCCAAAAACTTCAGGGCACCGGCCGAACGGAGCTGAGCTTTGAGGCGTTGAAGCTGCAGAGCCTGGAGCCCTTCCTGGAAGTGCAGGTGCGGAAGGATGGGATGGATGGGATGGTATCTGGTTGGTGGTTTGGAACATTTTTTATTTTCCCCAGCTGGGATGATGATCCAATCTGACTAATTAATATTTTTTAGATTGAAACCACCAACCAGATATATATTATTATTATACATATATATGTGTGTGTGTGTAAATTTAATAAATAATTTAGCCTCTGGTAATTTAACCTAGCTAACCTAGCTATGGAGAATGGCCCATCTCTAGTGAATTTACTGACTAGACATGATGATTTTCCATAGCTATGTTAGTTTACCAGAGGGTAATGGGGATGCAAGTGGATACAGATAAAGTGGCAAACCTAGGGTTTGATAAATGGTGTTATACACTCTGCAAAGAGATAGACATGTAGATGTCATGAAAATAGTGAAGAGTTCACTTTTCTATCTTTTTAGCGGCAATCGCGGGTTACTTTAAGTATCACTTTTATATGGGGATGTACTTGAGAAATGATTGTTGGCATGACGCTTCCCAGCCAGTCCTTTGGACATTGTTCGTTATTTTGCAGATTTTTTGGCACAATGGAGTTTTATGCATAACCACTAGAAGTTTAAAACTTTTAGTCGGAGAGCTGGGAACCAGCCACTTTAGATAATTAGGATCGATTATGGAAGTACCCTCTGGTAAACTAACGTAACTATTGAAAATGGCCATTTATAGTGAGTTTTCCCATTAAAAATGGTGATTTTCCATAGTTATGTTAGTTTACCAGAGGGTAATTACATCTTTAAAGATCATTTGGTATCCATCTGGTTTTTCATTAAGGATACGGGTCCGAGACTCCTACTGTAATTACTGTACTGGTTGATGGATGTTGATGGACAAAAGAGGTTTACGGTAAGAAGCCCCAAACCAAACAAGCAAGTGGTAAACATGGTGGTGATGATGATGGTGATGATGATGTTGATAATGATGATTATTTTGATGCTGATGACATATATTTACATACGTATATACACACCACGTCACGTCATGTCATGTCAATAGAATATGCAGAGGATGTGCTCCAGGCTTTGCCGCGGCAGCTGACGAAGCTGTCCTTGCGCGACAATCCTTGGTGACACAGCCGATGGAGGGAGGAGTGGTTGAAGAATGGGCAGAAACAATGATAGATAGCTTGGTAGTGGGCTTATCCACCAGTTCATGGTGATATAAATATATAATATATAATATATATATATATATGATGGGGTGACATTAATTAATGGGATACGACATAGAATCAACAAAATTACACTTAGATACTTGAGCAGTGGGCTAAATTGGATCCATTAAAGTGAGGAAAACTTTGAAGCATATTTGGAAGACTCAACATGAATAGGAACCAACGATTTGAGGTTGATAGTAGTTGATAATAGTTGATGATAGTTGATGATAGTTGATGATAGTTGATGATAGTTGATGATTCATGAGGGGTGACAACACATTTTTTTAACTGATGTATCAGTGGAGGTTGTTTGATCGGGTGGCTTTTGAGATGAAATTTATATATATATATATAGTATATATATATAGTGTACATTTATTTATTTTAGAACGTGGATGATGAACACCCCAATGAACCCTCCTGTGGCAAAGATTTTCTGGTTGGGGTAGCCCTGTGGTTTTTCCCAAGAACATATTGGGAGCTTTGGATTTTCAGCATCACATATATACACACATACACACACATACACACACACACATATATATATATATATACACAATATCTATATATATAATATACAGATGGTCAATATCAGTTTGTGTTTTTAAATAGCTATTGATGCTATGAAACATGAGTAAGCCCTTCAATTTCTTTCAGGACGGAGGCTGTGTCAGGGCCCAAGTCACAGCCAGGCAAGATCCAGCACTGCTGTTGTCTCAGCTTCAGCCCTTGCATCAGCGCCCCGGCATCGAGATGAATTGTACGCCCTCATGGCTTCAATCTTTGGAGCATACATCTTACATATATGATATAAATAGATAAATAAGTAAATTAAATCAATTAAATATAGAGATAAATAAATAACTAAAAAAACACATACATATGTATATATATATATATACATCTATACACACACTTGGGATATTAATTCACGAGCTATGCCCTGATTTGATGAAAACCCTCAATAACGAGAATCCATCTACTGCGCAGTACCATATCATCCAGTAGTTGGAGCTATTTTGGGCTTCACCAAGCGACGCATCCATCAAGCCATAGATTTGCAATGATCAGGGCATTTCTCCAAATCGTGAATCAAAATTTGGGGCAATTCATCCTGATAACTTCACCCATAACAGGGCAGTTTTAGGGTTGACGGGCTAGTTACGGCTAGTTCTTTGCATTCCTTTGGGAGGAATGCATCATATCCGTCCAAATATTGCAGCAACTTGCGAGTTTGTGATGCAGAGTATGTAGAGATAGCCACGCTCATGTAGAAATCATCGAGATTTTGGAACCAAATGTTGCCCGAAATGTACCTTGACCTAACTGATAGTACCAAAAAATGATTCGCAATTTTATTCAAAAATTGGACTTGGATTTACAATGATTTACACACATGTTTTTTAAACGGGGGTTGCCATACCCCAACCCGAGGTTGATTTCTTTGGATCTCTCCAAGTGCCGCCTGGACTCCCTGACCAACTTGCCGCGGCTGCAGCTGCGCCATCTGCGGCTGGAGGAGAATCAGCTGCGATCCACGCTGGGCATCGCCGGTTGCCCCCGGTTGCTGGAGGCCGTCTTGATCAGCTGATTAGCCATGATTTCAATTTCATGGGGGCCCCTTAACTCTTTATGACATATCATGACTAATATGGAGAGATGGAGTTGACCAATGATTGGTTTGATAGTTCGGGTGTTGGTTCACCTAGCCTTTGTATAGAATTATGTGAGTGAAATCCTGGTCTTCACCAACCAGGATTTCATGGAATGATTGCTCATATGGGTTTGTTGGAAAATAAGGTAATTATGCCCCTAAATTATTCATTTTTTAAACGTAGGGGGCATGATGGTCTACGATTGGATTGAATGGATGAGCGGCATCTGCTTTCACTCAAATCCAGGATGGCCGCTTGGAGTGATGGTGAAACCTGCAGCAATGAAAGGCTGGCATCACGATATATATATATATATAGATATCCAATAGATGCAATGCTTTTACAAAGGAACATGGGGGATGTAAGCGTCCTCGAATTGGGGATCTTAAATCCATAAACTGTGGATTTACCGAAGAAAAATTGTATGTCACTTGATATGGTGAGCACGTAATGAAGATCTTTGGGATGGAGGCAATCTTCCTTTGAGTGTCCTGGTGGTGTTCGTTGGGTCAAGGTGTCTCTGGCCCGAAATCGCCTCAACTCCACTGAGCAGTTGGAGTCTCGGATCAAGTTGGGTAGTTCAGATTCCAGGGTTTAGCAGTACCAGGATGAGCATTGAAGGTTCAATCTTAGTTGTTATTGATTGAAAATACATGGAACTACGATGATGATACCACTTCCCCAAAACGGTTCTAGGGGACAGGATTGCAGAGCAACACGCATGTTCGATGTAAAAAAACAACGGTTTCTTGGATTTTTGCAGTGGCATTTGCGGTTCAAAATTTGATTGAAAAGAAAGACATCCCAACCCAAATTCCCAAAATAATACCCACAAATCCTCAGCAATCCCAAAAACGCCAATTGGATTAAAGCAAAAACACCAGAAATTCCACAAAAAGCTATAAACATCTCAATTTTTCATGGGTGAAGTGCCATTTTTCATGGCTTTCTATGGGTTCCATACTGGTAGCCTTGGCTCAGGAGACCCTTCTGGAGCTTCGGGTTTTGGACCTGGCCGAGAACTGCTTGACGTCCAGTCAGTGCTTTGGACGTCAAGCCTGGTTACTGTAGTGAAGACTGGTTATTGATTGCTTTGGTGGTTTGGAACCATGGAATTTTATGACTTTCCATATGTTGGGAATGTGATCGGGCCCCAACTGACTTTCATATTTTTCAGAGGGGTAGGTAGACCACCAACCAGATTGACTGAGTCAACCATTGATGAAGATTACCGGTTATCCACTTTAGTGCTTTAATCTTTAGTGCTATCAATGGTAAGCATCAATCTTTAGTGCTATCAATGGTAAGATTAGTATCCAAAATGTGCTAAAGATGTACTACTGTAATCAGTGCTAAGTGTTACTAACCAGTGGTATCCAACCATCAATTGACTTGAGTCAACACTGGTTAACTACTTTAGTGCTGAAAAATCTTCTGCTACCAATGGCAAAATAATGTAAAATGTACTAACCGGCTAAGAATTGGATTACTAAAGTTTTGGCACGATGTCGTTGATGTATTTCTGTCAAAAAGACACACACAGATATATATATATATATATGTGGTGGAGGTAAAAACGAACTCAGATGGGTGTATGATGGGATATAATATGTTATTATATTCACTGACGGTATGGCTGTGTCTGAGAAATGGGTATGTCTCCGTTTTTGGCGATTTTATTGTGGAACATGATGGTAATCCAATGGATGGAATGGGGTACGCTATTTTCAGATCACCCTATTTCTGTGAGAATGATAATTCATATTATGCGTCAATATGAGCCAGAATATAAAACAAGAATATATGAATTAATGATGTGGGTCAGTGTTTCTGGGTCAAGCCTTAATAATCTGGGTGATGACGGTTAACCGGTTAACCATTCAGATTGTATAAACCACATATAATGAACCAATTGTAGTTATCAAATGTTATACATCATCTGGATGATCCACTATTAAAAAAAACATGCTATCAATACCATTCAGATAACCACATCATTCATTCCATACGCAATCTTTCTCATATGTTTATCTGGATACAGTAGATTCATGCTACAATTGTATCCGGTAATATGCATTCAATCTACAATTCCACATGCATACACCAATATATTCTGGATACAGTAATGACCAGTTATCACATATACAATAGCAATATACTAGCAGCATACTAAAAAAGCTTGCTTTTTCCCCCTCCATTGAGTTAACGTTGATTTTCCTACCAACAAAGCACCTAAGTTGAATTCGGGGATGGCCTGCGCTTTCCTTCATTTATTATTGGGATTCGAACAATTTCCATGTTTGATGACACCGGAGGGTCTTTGTGAGGGAAATATACAGACTCATATCATACCGATATAATACCCATATACTATAATGATACATGTTTGTTGAGTCATCATCTGGGTGACGCCATATTAATTTTACTAGTGTATTGATTAGATGCATTGATTAGATGTATTGCTGCACATAGCAGATGGATATTTGCACATATGGGTGCGTTTGGACCTCTTAGATTTGGTCGATAGTTGTTTTTGCTATTGATCTCTATAGATTTGTATCTACAACTATAATTTTTTCTGTGAATTTGTATGCGTAGAATGCTTTTTTTTTTCCATGTCCTCATCAAGATTGACGTGATGTTTGCCGTGACCAATGCTGTGCCCGCCTTTGTAAGGCGCTGTTTGAGGCCCCTAGCAGCTTGCACCCAGCTCTCCGAGCTGCATCTGCAGGGAAATCCCTTGGCCAAAGATGGAAATCCCCTGCGGAGCCTCTTTCCTTCGCTGGCTCCTTGCCTTGAAAGATATGGGGAGAGTCAAGCATAACCTCCGGTAAAGTCGCAGTTGGACCCAGAACATAGTCATGTGATAGTGGAAACTAATCTTCCAACCCCTATCTGATAGGGTCTATGTTAATTTACTGGAAGGTAAACAGAGGGGGAATCTTTCAAAGATAGATTAATACCATATTTTTTGGGGGGCGGAGCATCTAAGGTTAGCCATGCAGCAAATATTTCTTCAATCTCCCCACCATTGTTATATCAAGTTATATCCCAACTCATTTTCCCATGCTTCTAATGATCCCGAGAATCACCCTTGGCAGGCTCGTCATGTTAGTTGAAGGATGTTGAAGGGATCATATGCATTTTTGGATGGGGCTGGAGATGGATCCAGGTATGGCAGCCCCATTTGCACAGGAGACCTTGGACTCACGTCCCCTCCGCCGAAGCCGCGGGGGTGTTGCCACCCCCGTGGTGCCTACGGCGGTACCTGCGCCGCGGGGCCCGTGGCGCGACGACGGGGCGGTGGCGACGGAGTACCTGGGGAAGACGAAGAGTTATGCCAGGCGAAGGGGGGGCTCAAGTAGAGCTCGGTGATGCTCGGTGGGTGTTTTTTTTCATATGCCCTCTGGTATTACAGGTTGCGAACTGGTAAGATTAGACGGCCAACTCCTCTTAAGAATGGTGATTTTTCACACGCATGCACCAGCAAGTACTAGATTGCGGGACATGCCAGGTTGGATTTACCGGACAATACCGGACATTGGCCACCAGAGGCGAACCCCACCGTCTTCAAACATCATTGCAATCTTGTTTTTGATATGCAGCATATGCAATACTTAGTGTTCCATTCCACCACCCATGACAAGCAAGATGATCCAACTACGAGGCTTTGTGACATATGATATTCCTGCCAACCCGACCTTTTGGGGATGGTAACTCAGCAGCAGATGCGGAAAAGTCCCAAGAGCTTTGAAGAACCTGTTTTTTTTCCCGTCAGAATGGTGAAGTGCAAGCATTAACTTTGAAAACAACTCCGGAAAAAAGGGTGCACATGGCTCCTTTGGCCAGCAACATGGGGCTAAAAGACCCAGTAAGCAGCTGCGAAGCTCAAAATACCACAACAACTTGTGGAGAAGATTGATCACCTGCCCAGCAGCTTTTCGACACATGGCTTTTTTGTGCCAGGCCTACCAGAAGCAGTGCCATCAAAGCGTGCCGTGCGGCGGCGCCCGATGCCGAGCCGCCCCCGCCGCCGCTGTGTCCGCGGGCGCGAGCGCCCCCGCGGCCGCGGTCGTTTGCGCCGCCGCCGCGGGCGTTGGAGCCTGTGGAGTAGCGTGGTTTCTGGATATGATCCCTTCACCCTAATGTTAAACGTCCCCCCAAATAACAAAGCCGGGTAGTTTTTATTATTAGGAGGTATCCCTTTTCAAATCTAATTAAAATATTGCCCAAAATTGGATTTCGAAGCTTTCCCCTAATATTAAGTTAAACATCTTAACGAAAAAAACTGAAATTCTTGATTTCAAAATTAACTAAATTCCCTTTTAACATTAAACTATTGCCAAAAATTGTATTTCGCAGCTTTCTCCTAATATTGTCCTAATATTAAATTAAAAACCTTTAATTACTTTACTTCGTGTGATCCCCACCATGACATTCATACATTTTCTTACTGGCAAATCTTCTGGCATTCTATCTGACATATCTTCTGACATTCTATTTGGCATTCTATCTGGCATATCTTCTGGCATATGATCTGGCATATCTTCTGGCATATCTTCTGCATTCTATCTGGCATATCTTCTGGCATATATTCTGACATATCTTCTGGCATTCTATCTGACATATCTTCTGGCATATATTCTGACATATCTTCTGGCATATCTTCTGGCATATATTCTGACATATCTTCTGGCATTCTATCTGGCATTCTATCTGGCATTCTATCTGGCATTCTATCTGGCATATCTTCTGGAATATCTTCTGGCATATCTATCTGGCATATCTTCTGGCATATTTTCTGGCATTCTATCTGGCAAATCTTCTGGCATTCTATCTGGCATTCTATCTGGCATATCTTCTGGCATATTATCGGGCATTCTATCTGGCATATCTTCTGGCATATATTCTGACATATCTTCTGGCATTCTATCTGGCATTCTATTTGGCATTCTATCTGGCATATCTTCTGGCATATCTTCTGACATTCTTTCTGACATTCTTTCTAACTTTCTTCTGCGCATTCTATGTCCCATATCTTCCTACATGAGGTCCGGCAGGGGAACACTTGGCGTGGATACTCGCGGTTGAGGTCCGGCAGGGAACACTGGGCGTGGCTGGTCGTGGTTGAGGTCCGGCAGGGAACACTGGGCGTGGCTGGTCGTGGTTGAGGTCCGGCAGGGAACACTGGGCGTGGATGGTCGTGGTTGAGGTCCGGCAGAGAACACTGTGGATCGTGGGTCGCAGTTGGACGAGGACGACGAGGGCGACGAGGACGACGAGGACGACGAGGACGACAAGGACGACAAGGATGACAAGGAGGACGAGGAGGACGAGGAGGAGAGGAGGAGGAGGAGGAGGACGAGGCAGGAGGAGGCAACTGACATAAAATCTAACAACCCTCACCTGGCAGGTGGGGAAAAAAATCGATTTCAAAATCGATTAAATTTCCTTTTTAAATCTAATCTAATTATATCTAATTATATCTAATTAATATATTGCCAAAAATTGGATTTCGAAGCTTTCCCGTAATATCAAACTCATAACCGTAATTATTTTTTTTTTCGATTTTAGCAAGCGGACCCTAATAAAAAACTCCCCGGGGCGAACTAGTTTCATTATTTAGGGGGTAGAACCTTGAAATGGACCTTGATTTTAAAATTGATTTCTAAAGGGGATCAATGAAAAGTCAAATTGACCAATCTGAAATTTCCCAAAACAAATAATCCGGGGTAGTTTTTATTATTCAGGGGAGGTTTAGTAATAGGGAGAGGGGTTAATGGATACTGGATATACCCATATATACCCTCTGTATTTAACATAGCTATGGTATAGATGGCCCATGAAAATAGATTATAGATGATTTATGCCGATTTACCTCTTTAAAATTGTCATTTTCCATAGCCATGTTAAATAACATTAAATAACCAGCAGGTAGATGGGTGGCATAAACCATCAAAATATGATAAAATATGGGTGGTTTATGGCATTGCTTTACTAAACATATCTACAGTATACTATATTTACCCTTCAAATGATCATTTTTCATGATCATGATAAGAATGGGATGATTTGGATTGATTTGGAACGTTGGAACCCCAATGGATTCGATTCATAAATCAAATTTAGACCAGGCTTTTGTGTGTGTGTGGGGGGTCATGAGCCTACATCCCAAAAGCTCCATGATTTTCGTGTGGGGCTACTGGTAGGGGTTGTTCGCACGACCAAGGACAGGCCCCAGAACATCCCCCAAGAAGGAGCCGTTCGTGGCAAGTCTGGTGCCACAGCGTGGCACAACGAGGCGACCGGTGATCTCATGTCTCATTTCTCACATCTCTCATCATTGATCCACATGAATCCATATGTAGAAAATGCGGCAGATGGAGAAATTGATGTTATGAACATGTTTTCCATGATTTTCCATGTGCTGTTGGAGACACTGTCACGCCATGAAACGCAGTCTCTCTCGCCCAACAAACGGCATCTGGGCGTAGCCCATTGAAAGCCAATGCCCAGCGTATTGTTCAAAGATCCCAACTTTTCCTCTGAAATGAATGTTGTATATCATTGGGGTTGACAACCCCCACTACAATACCTGACTTTCCGAACATAGAGATGAACTCACGATGTTTTTTTTTGCCAGGATTGGCCATGACCAGGGTACCGTGGATCAATTGATGCGCTGTCGCGATCTCATCGAGGTCCGGTGGCGTCCGGCGGACCGGCACGTGTTTTTTTTTTGGGGGCTAGATCGGGATAGATCATGATAGATCCACATTCAGGGATGATCAAGAGTACCGGAAGCACATGTATCATGATATAGAAATACTGCGGGTGGCCCATTGCGATGTAACGCTTAGATATTGCGATTTGCGAGAATAACACCAAGTGTGGACATATCCAACATGCAACCTACCATGTTTGGGTGCTGACCACCAGTGATGCAAACAACCTTTTTTTGCTTGGCTGGAGAAACCTAAAATTAGCCTTTATTATGGATGCATTTCAGTTTTGGGATAGACACACAGCACTGCAGCATTTTGGAGTCCAGGACTCCCCCCGATAGTCACCCTGCCATGCAAAAACACCTCACGCACTAATAGACGTGTATGTGTATATATTTATAAGCTATGAATTCATGATCGTTTATGATCGTTCATTCTCACTTATGTTCATTTATAATTATAAATTTATGGTTTATTATTTATCATTATCGTTATTTTATAATCGTTTTATTTAACAATTAATTATCACCATTTACTCATTTACTATCATTTATTCATTTGCCGATCGTGTTTATTATAAACTTATCTGATTGATTTATGTATTTGCTGATGTTTCTGTCATGGCTAAACCACGACGAATCTGTGGTGCCCCCGCCGGCACTGCCAGGAGAAACGTCGTCTGCTACAAAAGATCACTTCAAAGTTAGGTGTCCCTGGGCGGTGAACGTGATCACAGCTCACCTGACCGTTGTCTATATATTTGGTTAATGATAACTAATGATAGTTAATGTTGATAGTTACACAATTACATAATGATATACATACATATATATATATACACACATGTATGGGTCTTTTTCAAAACTTGGGATACCCCAAATCCACATGGATGACCATGTATGGTTGTCTTGTTTTGAGGTACAACCTTTTTTAAGAAAACCTCCCTAGGGGAGGATAAACACCCAAATCAGATTTTTCAGCGGTGTTGAAGCCAGCCGGTCCCTGGAAGCGCCCGTTGTTTTCCTAAAGAGAAGTCTTTAGATTAAATGACCAGGTGATCTCCATTGATATTCCCATCATATCCAGGAAAATATGCCCATAACTGGACATATCCATTGATTAATTGAATTATCAGGTGGTTTAACCCTGAATATATCGAAAAAATCTAGGAAACAAACTTACTATCTTGATTTATAAAACAGTGATATCTCCATTTTAGTAGGATTTTCCATGAAATAATCCATCCAGCGTCATGGGGATACTCCCTATTTCTGGACACCCTCAGCCCAGGAAGGGGTGGCCAAAACGTCGTTTTCGGCCCCGCGATTGCACAAGGGCCCACGCTGAAATGGGGATATGCACATTACACAGAGAGAGAGAGATATATATATATATGTGTGTGTGTGTGTTCATTTTTAGCTTACGATGATGATCCCACTTTGCCAAAACAGTTTGCTGGATTTAGGAATTTAGGCGTTTCATTTTACGGCACGCAGGTGTGAACTGCTAGGCGCCACTTGGAGTTTTGTGTGCCTAGCAAGTGTTCACTACAAAGATCTCGCAAACAAAGGCCACTTGTGATGATCTGGGATCCTATATAAAGGATATCCCACATGTTCCCTTAGAGCGATCAGTTTGAGGATCTGCCAG